CTCACGCAGATCTGGGCTTTAGGAAGACCCCTGGGACAGGGAAGGGCCCTCCAGGCGGAGGGAAACTGCAGGGGTCAAGGAGCTGACAGAACGCGGGGCATGTCTGGAGGGTCTCGAAATGGCTCGTGGTGAGGCTGGAGCAGTGGGGCACCTGGCCGGTTAGCCTATGATCATAAATACACCTCCCAGTCTCAGTGGCTTAACAAAGCAAAGTTTAGTTCTCACTTGGGCCAAGTGCAGTGAGAACGGGGCAGCTCCTTCATGGGGTGGCCAAGTGTCCCAGGCTCTGCCTTCTCAGTGTGTGGTCGCCACGCACAGCGAGGGTCAGCAACGAGGCCTGGAAGGACGGCGGATTTTCGATGTCATGCCCAACCTTTTGCACTTAATTCTGATATAATAGTGTTGAAAGGTGATAATGCTTCAGTCAGAACGGGCTAGGTTGTGCTGTGCTGACAACCAGCCCCGGACGGTGGTGGCCCCCGACAGCTTGCTCACACCGCATGCGCGTCAGGCCCGTGGGGAGCTCCGCGTGACGTCTGTCGCCGTCGTGCCCGGCCTCACACTGGTGAGCAGCCCCTTCTGGAACACTGCAGGTCCCAGTGACAGAGTGCCTGGGTCAGCGCAAGCTGCCGGAGCAGAGCACCACAGCGATCCGGGCAGCCGACCTCTGTGCGGTGACTCGGCCACCCAGGCTGCTCCCATCTTTCATTCTTCTGTCCCAACACGGGGTCTGCACCCAAACGCACGGCCACTTGTAACTCCCTCCGGCTGGGAGTGGACACACTGTGTTTATCAAACCACAGGGGAGCCCGGGGAATGTAAAACCATCCCAGACACTTACCGAGTGCTTTCTCTGTGCCAGGCTGCGTGCTGAGCACTTAAATGTGTCTCTTCTGAATCCCTCGGCCTAACTGTGTGAGTTCTGCTGCGGGACCTCACCACTGTGACCTCGTCATACAGCTAAGGGAACAGCCTTCGAGAAGTTAAGGGCATCCGAGAGCACAGGGCTGGAGATTCGAACCCAGACCTCCGGACATCCAGGACCCCTGCTCTGGACCCCTGCCCTGGGTTCCCTGCTGATCACTGCCGAGAATGTCTTCATCCCCTTGGAGCCCTGGGATTGGGTTCTTATTTTCTGCTCTGTCTCATTTCATCTTCCCCGGGAGTCATGAATTTTTAAACCTCGTGCAAGATCAACCCGTTCACCCAGAGGAGACAGTAAAAGAACAAGAACAGGCAGAAACGGAACAGCCATCAAACAAGCAAGCCGGAGTTCTTCCAGGAAATGTCCACCTGGGGCGGGGAATGAACCAGAAGAAGTTGTGCAGGCATGGCGGGAGGTGGAGAGAGAGTGCTCAGGTCATCAAGGGAATTGTTGCCTTTTAGGAAAAGAGAGACAGAGAGTGGACTTAGGCCGTCAGACTCGGGCTACTGCAGTTTCTGGTGGTGAGGAAGGACCTCGAGAGAGAATGAGCTGGGGGACCACTCTGGCTCTGGCACAGATGATGGACGGGTGGAGGAGGAGGTGTGGAGCCAACCATCATTTCCAGGGCTGTTTGGAGAGAGAGTTCCTAGGCCCTGAGGCCAAAACAAACAGCACAGCTCTAACTTCAAACAAACAAGCCCCGCCTTCTGTTCTGGCCCCGCCCTTATTTTCACAGGCAGCAGAACCAGAGAGGGTGGTTAATTAAGGAAAGTCACACGGCCCCGTCTGTGCCGGAGCTGGACATCAAAGCCAAGTCCTAGAAGAGGCTCAGAAAGGAGCAGGGATGTGACCTGGTCTCACTCAAGACAGGAGCCCTCCTGCCCCTTCCTCTCCCACCAAGGGGTATGCACCCCAAAGAAATGAGAGCAGGCATTCAAAGAGGTATTTGTACACCCATGTCCATAGCAGGATTATTCACAATAACCCAAAGTGGAAACAACCCAAGGGTCCATGCATGGCTGAATGGATAAACAACGTGTGGTACATCCACACAATAGAATACTATTCAGCCTTTTTTTTTTAAAGGAAATTTTGACACATGCTACATTGGGGATGAACCTTGAGGACATGATGCTAGGTGAAATAAACCAGACACAAAAGGACACACACTGATCCCTCTCACAGGCGGTCCCGAGGGCGGTCCAATTCATAGAGACAGAAAGTAGCACGGTGATTGCCAGGGCCTGGGGGGGACAAGAGAGTGCGGAGTGAGAGTTTCATGGGCACAGTTTCAATTGGGGAAGATGACAAAGTTCTGGAGATGGACGCTGGTGATAGTCGTGCGACATCATGAACATACTTAATGCCACAGAACCGTATGCTTTAAAACCGTTGAAATGGTAGATTTTCTGTTACGTGTCTTTTGCCACAATTTAAAGAAAAGGATAACCGAGTCCTCCCTCTGCATCACCCCCAGTCTCCCGCTCAACTGCACCCCAGAGGCCTGCTTCCTGCTTCTTAGTCATCTTGGCCGATTCGGATGATTTTAAACCTTTCTTCTGTGGATTTTCGCCCCAAGGCGCCCAGCATGACCAAGGAACTGAGTGCGGAAGAGGACAAGGGAGGCACAAGTTTCAGAAAACTGCCATCAAAGCTCAGATTTTGGAGCTCTGGAGAACCTTCTAGTCCAACCCACGAGGCAACATCAAAGCAGCCACCAACTTGCCCCTCGGGGCCAGCTGCCTGGATTCAAATAATGACCCCTCCCCCATACGCTGTGTGACCTCAGGCAAGTGAAGCAGCCTCTCTGTGTCTCAGTTTCTTCATTTGTAAAATGCAGGTGCTGATGCCACCCCCCACCCAGGAGCACACCTCACTATGGTCAGGTTTGAATGTGTTAATACACCTGAAGCACTTAGAACAGTGCCTGGTACCAAATAACAGCCCAAAAGAGAGTTTGCTATTATTGTCGTCCAGATTCAAGTGAATTCAAACTTCTGCTTGAATGCCTTCTGGGATGGAGAGCTCACTCCCCACCAGGGCACCCTGTTCCCGCATTAGAAGGTTGGGTGTGTTAGAAAGCTTTTCCCTCCTTGAACCTCTCTTCCTGACAAAGTTGGCCCTGCCCTCTGAGGCCTGTCATGAAGACACACGTCAGTCAAAGTCAAATGACACCACCTGCTCAATGGTGTGCTGCCTCGTTTGCCTGAGCTGATATTCCTCCGGGGACCCAAAGCTCACACAGCCCAGAGCCCAGAGTGCAGCTGTCTGTCCCCATTCAGGACTCAGCAAAGGGTGGTGTGCACCTGCCCTGGACGCCCATCGGGGCCCTCTCCCATTGGTCCTGGCTGTGGAGTTCTGTGCACCAGGGGGCCCCCAAATCCTCTAGGTGGTTCCCGAGCCTCAACCTTCCAGGCTTCAGAGAGGAGGCACTGCTGGTGTCTGGGGCCAGCCCCAGGGTGTCTGTAGCCCTTTCTTCTCGCAGGAGGGAAACAGGGCTGAACATTACTGCTCAGGACTGGGAAAGTCTAGAAAGGAGAAAGAGGTCACCCATCTGGCCGGGGCAGTCTGTCCCTTTGGAAAATCGCTGAGCTCAACCAAACAGTGTTAGAGTCTACTGCTACAGTCCCAGCACCTCACAGGTGAATTTGCCAGCATGTTCTAGCAGGGCTTGGCGTGGGTTCTGGAGTCAAAGCTGACTCTACCCCAACCTGCCCGTGAGGCCTACGCAGTTTCCTTGTGTGTAAAGTGGGGGCAGTAACAATAATCCCTGCTCGTAAGGCTGGACTGAAGAGTAAACAGACGGCGCAGCTCTGCACCTGCATGGAAAATGCTTAATAAATGGGAACGGTTATGGGAAGAGGGGCTGAGGTGGGCGCCCTGGATTTCCCACTTAAAATCTGGAAGGATCATTTAGTCTGCTGCGTCATTTTACAGTTAGAAAAACAGGCCTCGAGCCAAGAGGTCTAGAAGTCACGCGGCAGTTTGGTTACCGCCCAGAGCAGCACCTGGTGAGCAGCTCCAAGGCTCTTGCTTCTTGTAGGCTCTGGCCCTTGCCCTGCTTGCCAGGCCGGCCCCTTGTCTTCTGGAGGGCAGGTGAGGCAGGGTGGCTGGGGTTGGGGCGATAGTGGCTCTGCCCGCTCCTCTGTTCCCTCCAGGAGCCCCCCAGCCTTATGAGGGCAGCACGTGCTGCATCTCCTGCAGTTCCGCGTGAGAGCCGCTGGGTGTCGCCACACAGCAAGAAAACAAAAACAAAAACAAAAACAAAAACAAACGACAGGCCGCTGGGAGCCCAGGCCTAATGGGAGTTCAGTCTGGGAGCAGACACCTCCCAGAATTGCCCCCCATCCTCTGTGGGCTCCAGGCCAGGCTGTCCCCAGCAGCTCCAGATTTCCCCTCACAGCGCTACTGACGATTTCAAACCTTTCACCACCTCCTCTGCCCCACCAGCTGCTGAAAGGGAAACCTGGCACAGCCTCTCGCAGCTGAGCGCCTCCCCGCAACAGTGCTCCAGCCCCCTGGGACCCGTCACCGCCCCCCCGCCTGCCAGTGCTACCCACCTTTGCCCTTGCAGGGCCTCCAGGTGGCGAGCCCTCCCTCATCTCCATCTGGGACGGGCCTGCCGCCTGCTAGACACTGTGCACAGAGGATTTCGAGTGCTTTATGTGTACCACAACCCCATAGGTAGGTACCATTTTCCAGAAAGGGAAACTGAGGCACAAATAACACGCATCGAATCTTAGTTATTAAGTAGTAGAGCCAGGGCTTATGCCATCGGCTTCAGAGTCTGAGCTCTTGCTGGTAACCACTTTTCTATGCACACTCCATCCCTCTCTCCTGACCGCCCATGGAGGTCTTACCCTCTCGGGTGTTTCATGGGTGGGGCTCACCTGAGCCTCTGTCATTAGATGGGGAGAGCAGGACTGTGTGCGTTCACCTCTGGCCTTGCAGCTTCTGACCCCTGAACAGAATAGTTACTCTGGTGGGGGCCTCTGCTTGGCCCCGGGCACCTCTGAGTCCAGGGCCTCTCTGCGGGGCTCAGGTGTGGTCGCAAGCTCCGTCTCTGGCAGGTCCAGTCACTTCAGGCCGACTGCAGCCAGGGCATCTCCTGGGTGGGGCAGCCCGCTTTCCCTCGGCATCCTCTTCATCCACACCTCGCTTTCCCTTATGAGTCGGGGTGCTCTGGAGCCGACTCATACCAGCTCGTGAGAGTTGAAGGCAAAACCTCCAGGAAATCTGTGAGCTGGTTGTTGAACTCCGCCATTGTTAAAAATCAAATTATATAAACTTACAATTTAATAAATTATATAAAAACAAAGGTAATAGGGGAGACTGGCTGGCTCAGTCGTTAAGCGTCTGCCTTCGGCTCCGGTCATGATCCCGGGGTCCTGGGATCGAGGCCCGCATCGGGCTCCCTGCTCCGCGGGAAGCCTGCTTCTCCCTCTGCTGCTCCCCCTGCTTGTGCTCGCCCTCTCCGCCCTCTCTCAATCTGTCAATAAATAAATAAATAAATAAATAAATAAATAAATAAATAAAATCTTAAAAAAAAAACCCTGAGGGTAATAAATACTTCAAAGTCATCACCTCTTATTATATTACTACATTTGTCTGTCCTTCATGGTCTCAAGGTCACTTCTGGCTATTGGATCTGTCCGGCGCAAATTCTGTATTGTGATGGCTCCACAGCGGGCCGAGCATGATTTCCCAACCCCCTGCTCGGTGACCTTGCCTTAGTAGTTTGAAAGCAGCCCTGATGGGAGTATTTACACCACAGACACGTGGCGAATGCTGCACATCGAGGCTCCCCACCCCCACCCCATCAGAGACCCGGTTAAACCGTTACAGGCTTCAAAGCCCCTTGGGGCAAAGGGCCCGGCCCAAGGGGAGCGGGCCTCACTCCCCTTGTAATCCTTCACCGACTCTGAGGCCTGGCCAGTGTCCTTGGGCCTCAACTTTCCCATCTGCAAAATAGGCTGAGAATACAGCTTTGAAAAACTGAGGCGCCGAAACCATGCCCTCGGGAAATCTGCCAACAGCCCCCCGAAGCGGGTCCAGTTGCGGCCCTCGGTGAAGAGGAGGAAATGGGGGGCTGTAAGGGGACAGGTCCCCTCATCAGAGATGACACATCAGGGTTGAGCCACACTCCTAGCTGCTGGGGCTTGTTGGCCCCATAACCATAGTACCCCGGCCACAGGGTGGTCTGGGGGATTGTCCGAGGTAATAATGTGTGTGGAAGGGGGCGCCTGGGTGGCTCAGTCGTCTGCCTTCAGCTCAGGTCATGATCTCAGGGTCCTGGCCGGGAGCCTGCTTCTCCCGCTGCCTGCCGCTCCGCCTGCTTGTGCGCTTGCTCCCTCTCTCTCGCTCTCTCGCTCTCTCTCTCGCTCTCTCTCTGACAAATAAATAAACAAAATCTTTAAAAAAAAATGTGTGTGTGGAAGAGCTTGGCACCGATCTGGCTCTAGCAGGACACAGGGAACAGGATAATTCCCCGAGAGGCTTACGAGTGGGGATCTGAGCCCACCCACGTTTGAGTCTCAACTCTTCTCTTTCCTTCTGTTTTCGAGATCTCTGGCCAGTCAAGACACTGATTGTCTAAAGCCTCATTTTCCCCGCATGGAAAGAGGGATAATTATAGCCAGCTGGAGGAGCCGCTCAGAGGACTGGCCATAAAGGATATAAAGTGTCTGCTGAGAAGTGGATACTTAATGAGTAGGAGTGATTGTTTGAGATTCTCTTTTATTTCTTGTCACTCAGAAGACAGCAACAATGCCCAGCCTGGTTCAGGGAAGCAGGCGACTGGGGGGGCCAAGGAGGCAGGACCTTGCCCTCATCTGGGCCAGCTTGGCCTCTCAGTGGGCCCTGGCCCTAGAAGGGCCTCAGAGGCGTGGGGACGCTGTTGCTAGGCACTGGTTGCCAGGCGACACACTGTTTATCCTGGCCAGGCCACCTCCCAGAAGGCCTGGGCTTCCCTGGAGCAGCTCCTGTCCCCTGCAGCCTCTCCCCAGAGCCACAGCAGAGGGCAGGTGAGGGTGGGGCCCGCTGCGGTTGGGCCCCAGGAGGGCCGAGCCAACGTCCCTCAGCAAGGCCCCCCGAGCGAGCTGAGGGAGGGACAAGGAGCCCCGGGCTGGGCTGGGAGGGTGTCTGTCCATTCAATCCCCAGAGGAGGCCAGGAGGGGATTAAGATAAGATCCGGGGCGGGGAGTCAGATACCCCAGGGCCTGAATCCTGGCTCCCCACGCCCATTGTGAGCTCATCCTTCATCACTTGGCATCCTAGTTTCCTGGCTGTAAACTGGGGAGATGATAAGCTGTGGGGAAGGGGGAATGAGTGTATATGATTACGTGTTGACGATGACCAGTCCTTCCTTCAGTTTGGGGTGTGGGTGTCGGTGGAGAGGGACGGGGCCGAGCGGAAGGCCCTGGTTGGTGGGGCTCGGGCTTCGCCTCCGGGGCCTCTGCAGCCTGAGCCTGAGACGGGCTCGGGGCCTGGGGCTGCTGAACGGATGGGGCTCCCTGTGCTTCCTCCCCAGGCGCCCCCCGGGGCCCTGCCCCACAGCACCATGATGGGTAAACTCCCCTTGGGGGTTGTCTCCCCTTATGTGAAGATGAGTTCAGGGGGCTGCACGGATCCCCTGAAATTCTATGCCACTAGCTACTGCACCGCCTACGGTGAGCGCCCCTGTGTGCTGGAGCCGCCCTAGGACGCGGGCCAGGACGGGGGGCGGTCCCCCCGCCGTGGGAGGGGCAGCCCCGTGCCCTGCCACACACGCTCAGAGGGACCCCAGTGCGCTGAACCGATCCATCCCTGAGCCCCCCCAACGACCGTGTCCACGCCTGTCCCATCAGGCTGGCTTTGCCCCGCTGCCCCTCCCCCGAGTCCATCCTGTGATTCTGCCACACTGACCTTGTCCCTCCCCATCCTTTCCATTCCCCGCTGCCGCAATCTCGAAGGGCCAGGCTTTCACGGCTCTCTTGTTCCGGCCCCTGGCTCTATGCCTTCTCCATCCCGAGGACCTCTGGGCCCTGGGCGGGGTCGGGGGGATGTGGCTGGCCCTGCTTGGGAGGCCCTGCTCACTGTTCTTCCACTCCCCTGCCCCACGGGCTTCCCCTCTGGCAGGTCGGGAGGAGTTCAGGCCCCGCATGGGCAGCCACGAAGGCACAAGCTACAGATCCAATTACCGGCCCGTGGTCTCTTACCACGCCAACCTCGATGCCCTGGACAACCCAGCCATGGGGTAAGGTCTGCAACCCCTTCTCCCTCCCTGCCCCACTGAGCCTTAGTGCTCAGGGCCATTGGAGCTCATCGGACCGACTGCGGGCTCCATGCATGGGGACCCTGAACCTTGCCTGGCCTAGGTCTGGGGTCCGGGGGCACTCAGGGCACGGCACCCACCTGGGGCCCTAAGGCAGGCGGACTCCTGAGGCATCTGTGGGAGGTTTGAGGGAAGTGGGCAGCTTCCAGAGATAAGCACTGCAGCCTCCGGGTGGCTCCTGCTCCACCCTCAGGGAACAAGTCCGCCACAATTTCCAGTCAGTGACCAATCAGAGCTACCGCCCCCTGGAGGCGCCTGATGGCAAGTGCCCACTGCCTTGGAACGTGCATCAGACCAGCTCTGGCTACTCGCGGGAGAAGCCCAGTGTGGCGACCCCCACTAAGGAGGTCAGTGCTGGGCTAGGACCAGGAGACAGGGGGGCCCCGAGGCTGGGGTAGAGGAAGGACCGAGGGGCCGGAGAGGGTGAGGATCCCTCCAGCAGGGTGGGATGGCCCTGCCAAGAGTTGGTCAAGGCTGAGATGCCTGGACGCTGAGGAGCCATATGCGGGCTGGGAGTCTGCTCACCTGTGTCACCTTCGTCCCCATCCCCGAATGCACCATCACCTCCCCTCCACCCCCATTCCCCATCCCTGTCCCTGCCATCACCTCCACCACCCCCATCTCCAATCCCAACACCAACCCCATCCGCATCCCCATCCCATGGTCTCTACCATCCCATCCACATCTCCAACACCACATGACCATCCTCCCCACCAATGTCATGTTTGCTTTTGTCATTGTCGTCCCCATCTTCTTCATTCCATTGTCATTATGATCATCGTCCTTATCACCAGCAGTAGAATGTATTCTACTAAGTCATTCATTCGTTCATTCGTTCATTCATTCAACTGATATGTTCTGAACATCTCTTTTACATATGAAGGTGCTAAGTGTGGGGGGGAAATGCAACAGGGAAGAGGCAGGGGTGAAGCAGTAGTGAAGGGGTTGCAACTGCAAGCCAGGAGGGTGGGAAAAGAGCTTGCTGTGGAGACGTGAGTCAAAGACTCAAGGGAAGTTAGTGTCCTCTACGTGCAGTGATGTGAGAGAGCGTTCCAGGCAGTGCAGATTGCAAGTGCAAAGGCCCTGAGGTGCGAGTATCTGATGTGACAAAGAATAGCAAGGAGGCAGGTGGCTGGAGCAAAGCAAGGAGCCAGGGTCCTTGTGGGTCTCTGTCAGCCCATGGGGTTCTACTCCTAGTGAAATGGGATGATTGCAGGGCTCTGAGCAGAGGGGGGACATGACTGGACTTCATTGTCAAGGGACCCCTCGGGCTACGGATACTCTGTAGGGGTCAAGGGCAGAAGCAGAGTCAAGACATGGACTGCCATCCCTTTGCCTGGAGCGTGACTGGCCGCTTCCTCCTCCCAGGTCAGGAAGGTCCATTTTGACCCCCAGGACTATGGGCCTCAGGCCATCACAGGGCTGGAGCCCGAGGACGGGCCCCTGCTCCACCAGCTGCAGGGCAAGGGCTCGATGGAGTGGGAGAACGCCCGGCATGTGAGTGGGCAGCCCCCGGTCAGGGCTGTGAGCGGGGCAGAGGGGCCAGACCCACTTCCTTTCCCTCCTGGAGACCGGCACTGCTCTGACTTGCCCAAAAAGCCAACTAAATGTGGGCTCAGAGTACCTAGAAAAACTGGGGAGAGCCAAGGATATTTGGTATTTCCAAGACAGCATCAATGGGGTCAGCACGGGCTTCCTTACTCAGGTCTTAGGACTTAACCCCAGAGGCCCCTTCCCTCCCCTCGCCCATCCAGACTCCCCGAGCTCTGGGCAGTGCAGTGTGGCGGGAGGACCTACTGTATTGCCTTAGCCTCTCTGCTTGCCTTGGGCCCCCTCTTCGTCTGGGTGCCTGGGTCCCATGTTTATTCCTGGGAGTCCAGTGTGGGTGGGACGGACTTCACTGTCACAGGAGAACTTACCGGGAGTGTGTGGGGTTCTGCTGCCCCATCAGAGACGGATTTGTGCCGGGCCTGCCGTCCTCGGCCTCCCCTCGGGGACTATACCACACAGGTCTGCTGGGAACACTGAAGAGCCATCACTGTGGCCAACCAGCCCCGGGCCCTGGTCCAGTCCGTAGGCCCCAGTGCTCTCCCTTCTGTGTTCCAGGACCCGCGCTTCATGACCTATGAGTACAATTCCAAGTATTTCAAGGAGCCTTCAAACCAGCCAGGTAGGCACATGTCTGAGCTCATGCCTTCCTCCCACCACACCTCCCTCCCCCCGCCACAGGGAGAGACACGGTGGCGGGGGGGGGGGGGTGCAGACGGAGCTGGTGCAGGACAAAGAAGGCACCAGCAGAAAGAAAGAAGGATACAGAGGCAGCCTGGGGGACTTGTGCCTTAACGCCAACCCTGCCGAAGGACGACTCACTGGTTTAGGAGGGCTGTTGATCCTGACCCCAGCTGCCTCCCGGCCTGTTGGCACCTGCCCGTCCTGCACCTCTCTTCTCCTCCTCTCCCGTCTCATTCTCTGTCCTGAACTCTGGAGTCTTCCTGGTGCCCATGATCCTATAGCTCAGGCGTCCAGATCCTTAGAGCCAGCTCCCTCCCCACTGGCTGGGACACGGAGCCTCAGGAGGCCCTGTGGGCAGGGCTAGGTGGCCGGGGTGGCGGGTAGCACGGGGGGATGTCTTTTGCAGATCTCTTGCAGAAGAAATCAATTGGCGCCAAAGAAGAGACTGGCTTCACCGAAGAGTCCACCAAGAACCCCATTGTCTTCCAGCCCCCCTCCCAGGCCCTCCCTGGGGACCCGGTAAGTCAGGCCTGTGCCCACTAGAATCTCAGGGTGACTTCTAGCTTAAAATGTGTGAGTTGCCGAACCCTGTGTTCAAACACGAGATGAACGAGTGTGGGTAAAAACCACTGCTTTGGTCCAGCTCCCCCAGTTTACGGATGAGAAGACTGAGGTCCAAAGAGGAGAAGGGGCAGAGCCAATGTTACTCAGAGTCTGAGCGAGGGCCCTGGCCTGCTGGTCCTCACTCAGCATCGTTACTCCCCAAACTCTTCCCTTTCCTCGGTTACCCCAATCATACGCACATGTCGTGAGCCCCTTCTGCACTCAGGACCCCGGGGCAGCTGCCTCTGCCGGGCTGACGTGCTTCTGCGGGCCTCTTTCCAGGTCCTCCTCCCCGTCCAGAGTGTCACCAGGTCCGACTTCCTCCCTATGCCCCACCCTCATGTAAGCTGAGCCGCTGAGGGTGGAGGGCGGTCTGACCCCAGGGCCTGGGGTCCTTCCTCGGGGCAGTTGGGACAGTACCTGGAGGACGGCGGGAGGCGCAGCTATGCTCTGGTGCCAGGGGCTCGTCTGTGGCCTTAGGGGGACGAGTTCCTGCCTGTGCTGGCCAGAGGCTCCGAGAGGGAAACAGGCTACAACCGGGTGACGGAGAGGACCCTGAACCCCAGAGTGAGTGGCCTTCGGTGGGGGGGCTCCCTCAGAGCCGGGGCGTTCCCACAGGAGGGGGCAGGGAGGTTCCTTGGACGCACACGCACTTGGGCGCTGAAGGATGGGAAGGATCAGGATATTTGGACCCTCCAGGGGAGGGGCGAAGGCCCAGGAACTGGAAAGTGAGGGGTGTCTTTGACCCAGGGAATTCCGTGTGCCTGGAGGGGCAAGGACGAGGTCCTGGGGCTGGGGGCAAGTTGGGGCCGCGTGTGCCTCTGCCTACCCTCCCTCTGTCCTTGCCGCCTCACCCTGGCCACCCACCGCCTTTCTGTGGCTCCGTCCCCTGCAGGTGCCCCCTCCTGGCCCAGAACCGAGCAGCATGAGCCACCGGCATTTCCAGCCCCCGCAGCGCATGCAACAGACGAACGTTGCCTTGCTGGGCCGGGAGACTGTGGGGAACAAGGTGAGGCTGGGGTGCCCAGCCCCACTCCCAAATCTCCACCCCCTCCTGACCTCACAAGTCCCCTCCGTACCTCTGGTGCAGGAGCCCACGGGGTTCAGCCTCAACAACCCCAGCTACTTCCGGAACCCTTATGACCCTGACATGGATAATCGGTACCTGACCACCTACAACCAAGGGTGAGCACCCCCCTTCGCTGTCCAAATCCAGGGCTGTGAAGCCAGCATGCATTTCACAGACAGACACTGGGACAAGTGATGAGCTTACAGCCTGTGAAGTAGACCAACACTGAGTTAGTGTGATCCCCCAGAAGCAGCCCCTGAGCCAAGGATCTGAGCGCGAGTCTCTTACTGGGGAGTGTGGGGGAGCTGGGAAGTTGTGTGGGAAAAGGAAGGCAGCCCAAAGCCAGCGTGTTATTAAAGAGATATCCCATGGGGAGGCTCTAGAAAACAGTGCAAACACACGACTCAGAATGATCCCGGCCAAGGGGAGAGCGAGCTGGGGGACTGGTACCCCCACAGCCATCAGTCAGAAGTTAAGGGCAGTCCCTGAGGACGATACTAAAATCCCAGACACCTCTTTGCTACAGGCAAAGCAAGCCCCAGCAGCCCAAGGGCAGCCGACCTCTGCGCTTCTCCCTGATGCTGTGCCCAGGCTGGTGGGCAGGGAACAAATAAGGGGCTGAAGGGCGTCTGGGTGGAGCAACATGGCATCTGCGAAGATACTACGTCCAGTCCACGGTGGGGGGGCTCTGGGTTCCCAAGAAAGTAAGCTCTTTGCTGAGCATCCAGGAAGGCTTCCAGGAGGAAGTGGCCCGAGAGCCATGGGGAGGACTCCCGGGGCCAGGACTGGATGGGGAAGGCATTGCAGGAGTGGGATAGAGCCTCCTTGCACGACATCTGTCATCTGTGTCAGTGTGTGTCACCTGTGTCCCAGTACACTGTCCCCCCACTCCTTGGTCTCCCAAGTTGCCTCCCATCCTTGGGGCTGGCCCCCCTCTTTGGGATGGGGACCTTGAGGCTCAGATGGGAGAAGTGGCGACTGAGCCACATCGCAGATCCATGACACAGGTGGCTGCTCCAGTCCCCACGAGGGGGGAGGGGGAGGGGCAGAGACTCACGCTGGGTGTCAGGGGACAACAGTGTCCCTGTCCCTCCCTGGGCAGACGCCCTCCTCCGGCAGCTCCGGCAGCTCCAGCAGACCCTCGGCCCCAGCCATGTCTACAGGGTCCTTCTCCCGCCCGCCTGTCGGCTTTCCCGAGCTCCCGCCAGGGGTCAGGCGCACGGCTCCTTCCCCAGGGGTTGTAATCACTGACTTCCTCATGTATCTCTCTGCACCCCCACTTCATACGCTCAAGGGCGGGGCCCACATCTTACTCATCGGTGGCCCTTTCAGAACCTGACCCAGTGCTCAGGGAGCATCAGCAAAATGGAAGCAAAGTGGAATGCCCAGAGAGAAATGAATGAGCCAGGGTCTCCACTCCCCCACCCCTAAGAAGTTCATGGGCCAGGGAGGGAGGCGGCGCGCAGACCGTCCTTTCGGCTCCCCCGTGCTGGAGCAGCATCAGGGGGCTGGGCGAAGGAGGGCCGTCCAGCTCCGGGGCAGAGCCAGGGCAGGCTTCCCGAGTGAGCAGCGTTCCCCAAGCGGACTGGGGCTCAGGACAGAGGACACAGCATGAGCAAAAGCAAGGAGGCTGGAGGGATCTGAGGCCATGTGTGCTCTGCTGGAGCCAAGATTCCTGTCCAAGAAGGGCAGAGAGGCTGCAGAGGTGAGCGGAGGCCAGCTTATCACCAGCAACAGCCCCCCCCCGCCCCCACCCCGTGCTGCAGGTACTTCGAGAATATCCCTAAGGGTCTGGACCGAGAAGGCTGGACTCGAGGTGGCATCCAGCCGCAGAAGCCCGGAGGCTATGCCCTCAACCAGCCGGTCACCCACATGGAGGCCACCCCCAACCCCGCGGAGAGCCTACAGCACCTGCACCCCCACGTGGGAAGGTAGCCGGCCCTCCCTCCCGCTCTGTCCTTTGCGGCATCCAGGCCTTTCCCCAGCTTCTTCCCTCCCTCCGTCTGTCTGAGAGGCCTATTTCTTCTCTCTGGCTTGCTCGCAGCTTTTCCGGCTCCTCCCCCGCTCTCCCCAGCGACCCCTCCCCCTGCATGGCTGCCCCCCACGCCCCCCAACGCCTCGTTCCCATCCCAGAGGCCAGCTCCACACCTGCTCCCTGCCAGGCTGCGGGGGGTGGGGGGGTGGGGACAGAGTTGAATGGACTGTGGTTCTGCCTCACTCTGACTCCTTTCGGCTCAATTCAATTCCTCAAAAATTATATTTCTAAGACAATGGCCCAGACTTGGCAGGCAAAGAATGTGGCTTGGCTGAGGGCTGCCCCAGGGGAGGGGCAGGCAGAAGAGCAGGTCCCACCTTGCCCCACATCCCCCTCACGTCCACCCCTCCCCTTCCTGCAGAACCCTGATCTCCGTGGACCCCTTCTACCGAGCCCCGCCTCACAGCAGCTACTTCATGACACCCAACTGAGCCTGAGACTGGGTAAGGGGCGCCCCGCATGGGCCAGCCCCACATCCCCAGCCCTGGGTCAAGCAAGCCCTGCTGGGGACCCAGCCTCAGAGTGAGGGGTGGGAGACCGGGGGGTGGGGCTCTCAGGGCTGGGGGAGTGCACTGAAGCCCCCTCCCCCTGGGAACCCCTCGGGTCTCATCTCTGTTCCTCCCAGGTTTGCCAACCCAACGGACAGGACAGGAGCCGGCTACAGTCCCTACCCCCACCCCGTCCCTGCCCAGACTCCCCTGACTACTTTCCTAATGAAATAAAGAGCAGTGAAGCAGCCCATGTGTCCAGTCACTGGCAGGGGAGCTGGGAAAAGGATGGGGGGTGGTGCAGGGCGAGCATGCAGGAGTGGAGGGGCCCGGGCCCGCTTTGGAGTCAGGAAGGTCGGGTTGGACTCACGGTGACACTAGGGACAAGGACACAGATTCCTCTCCTGTCAGGGGGTCTCCTACAGTTGGTGCTGAATGCTCAGTCGGTGTGGAAGGCCAGGAGCCCTGGCAGGGAGCAGGCGGGACAGAGTGGGGAGAGGCAGAGAGGAGCAGAGGGGCAGGCAGTCACAGAGATCTCTCTCTAGAGACAGACGGAGGAGGGTCTGTGACAGATGGATGCCTTTACACTGAGCCAGGGAGGGGCAGGGGCTGGTTGAAAAGGCTCGTGCCTCAGGGCAGCCCTTTTGTGAGGATTAGAACAAGGATTCCCCCCACCCCCAAGCACAGTCCCTAAAGAGCAAACTTCTTGTGGGAAGAATGCATCCCTTCCTCCGGATGCTGCCACCTGACACGGGGTCCCTCAGCCTGCAGGGCGGAACCCAGGCTGCCTCTCAGTGCCTTCCCTCACCTCCAGCAGGTGCATTTGCACAGTGCACAACTACGCAACCGTATGCTGTGTTCCTGCCAGCACCAGCTCCTCGTCTTATAAAGGGGAACCTGGACCCAGAGAGTGTGCCTCAGTTGCTTGAGGTCCTAAGGGTAGAGAGGCAGCCGCAGCCCAAGGCCGGGATGTCTCCAGCACCTTCCAGGCCAGCTGGCATGCTGAGGGGCAGACTCAGTGGTCTAGCAGCTGCCCCCCACCCCCTCCCCCTCCGTGGCAGCGTCCTCGCTCGGCCTGGCTGGGGATCCATGTGGGATGTGGGTGGCTCCAGCTGGCTCCAGCCCTGGAGGAGGGGAGGAGGGGACACAGAGTCTCTCGGCTGCAAACCCAGCCAGACTCGGACCCAGTGACAGCCCCACAGGCTGTGGGTGGGTCCTGCAGGTCCATGGCCTCCAGCATTAGGGGTGAGTTACCAAGTCAGAGATTTGCCAACTGCGCTGGGTCCCAACTGTGGCCTGGCCGTGAGGAGGTGGGGGAGGGGATCGACAGGTCCCCTCCCGCCCACAGTCCCCCCCAAATACACAGACCCCTGGAGATGCACACGTGCTAACACATACGTGCCAACAGACAAGTACACACAGACTAACACAAGCGCGCCGGAGACCGAAACACCCGAACGCTTGTACATGCAGACAGACACACAGACACAGAGGCAGACTTACAGACATGCAACGTGCTTAGACACAGACACACAGACACACCCAAACAGATGTGCAGAGACGTACAAGACAGACGGACAGACACACACACACCACTGCACGTGACCGTGTCCTTCTTCCCCACCAGTATCCTTTTATAGCTCACCCCTCCTCTGTCTGACTCAGTAGGGGATATGGTGTTGGGGACACTGGAGCCTCATCACACCCTTTCTAGGTCTCCTCCGCCTCCCATTGTCCTGCACCCCGTTTCCAGGCCATGTGAGCTGGGGACACCCCATGATGTTTCCTGAGCTGGAGCTCTGGACCGCACCCGAGGGAAGGGGGCTGAGCAGCACCCTTCTCTTTCCTTTAGCCCCTGCCTTCACCCCCTTCGGCCTCTCTCCAGGCAGCCCATCCCAGCCTCCCCGTTTGGATCCTGGGTCCCAGCCCGAAGGACTGTGTAAGGACGGGGTGACCCAGGGCATGTGGTAGCAGGAAGGGGGGGCCAATGCCTAGCTTAGGTGGTTCTGGAACTCCTGCCTGGAGCAGAGCATGGATTTCCCCAACTTCTGGATGAGGAGACAGACACCCAGAGAGGCGGAGCCACTCGCCCCAGGTCACACAGCAGCAAGGACTGTGGGTGGGCGCCTGTTGGTAAGGGCTGGCATGGGAGCCCACGGTGGCGGCTGCCTTGGGGGGGATGTGAGTTGACTCCGAGTCATAACCGCCTTCCTGACCTCTGCCCACCCCACTGAGTTACTCGGGGCAGGCCCAGTGGGGGAGGGCAAGTGTGAGCTGGCCCTTGAAATGGGCAGCATGGCCAGTGGTGGGGGCTGAAGGAGGCAAGGCTGTGGGCCAGGACACAGTGCAGGGGCCAGCTCAAGGCCTGGTCGGGGGTCAGTGGGGACGGACAAGTGAGGCTGTGAGGTGGGCAAGCCCATGGGGAAGGCGGGTTGGCTAGGTTTTCCTACCATGCTAAGGAGCCCTTCTCTGTCCTCCTCCTCAATTAGGGGACTCTGTGTCCCCAGGGCAGGAGGGGTGGATACTCCCCACCCTGTGGCTACTGAGGTTGCTGAACCCTCTGTTGAAGCGAAGGCCTTTGCCCTGTCACTCCCCCTCTTTGCTGTCGGGTGAGTGTGGGCGTGGGTACTAGGGCTTCATTTCGCCTCGCCCTTTTGAGACTTGAGTCCTCGGTCAGGCCCCAGCCAGCCTCAGCCCAGCGCCCTCTCTTCCCCACGGCGGGGCCTGAGCTCTGGGGTCAGACTGCCTGGGCTCATTCCCGGCTCTCCACACCCAAGGCTGCCTCCTGCGCTGGGCTGCGAGGCCACCTGACCATTCTGAGCAGAAGCGAGTGGCAGGACCCAGGCTGTGGGCTACCCAGGATGGCGGGCATAAAGCGCTCTGCGGGCGACAAGTAGCTGCCTTGATTCTGGCGCAGAGGGAACAGGGGCCCAGCTAGGAGTCGGGACTTGACATAGTCACAGGCTCTGGCTCTTGCCTCCTCCTGCTTGGCCCTGGACAGGCCTCCTCAGGACCCTTCTCCAGGAGCAGCCCCCTGCTGGGTCAGGCGACCCACTGTACGGCCTCACGGGGAGGCCGAGGCTGCCCCTGTCGTGTCCCCAAGGCCAACTTCTGCCAGGCTCTCCTGGAGGCGGCCCACCTGTCCCCTCACTGGAAGCCAGGCTTTGGGCGTGGAAGCGAGTCACCCGCAGTGGGTGCCCAAATGTAGCTGCTACCAGAAGCTTCCTTCCACTCCCCACAGATGCTTTAGAAACTGTGGTGGGGTGCACAATGACGACTGCTAGCTTTCTGAAGCCCCCACAGCCTGCTGGGTGCTGGGAATATTCCGTGGGCCTTCAGCTTTTCAGCGAGAACCCCGGGGGGCCCCCCTCCGGGGGAAGTTTGGGGGCGCAGGTGGGAGCTGCGCTGACAGCCGTGGTGTGGGGGTGTGCAGCCCCGCGGGCCAGTGGGACAGCAGGTCGGGGAGAAGCGCTGGATGCCACGCTCTCGGGCCCCACTGCGGACGCACGTGGACGCGTGTGAGGCTCTGCCCGTCGCCGAGCTGGGGCAGCTGACGTTGACAGGTACTGCCTGGCCCAGGTCACGTGGTGACGCGCAGAGCCACCAGCTCGCGGGCTTGACAGCTGGCCAGTGGGGAAGGCATCTGTCTGTGGACCTGGAAGACCCCCCACCCCCGGGGGAGGGGGTGGCAGGAAGCCTGCGTGGGGAGGACGGTGGGTTTGCTACACCCAGACAGATGGAGGGCCTGACAATGAGAATCCGATCCCCGCCTTCTTCTTTGACCATCCGGAGGGCCACCCATTCTCAAGGACATTTTCTGAACAGCCAAATATGCAAGGGTAGAGGAGGAGTCAGATCCAGGAAGCCCCCCCCCCCCACCCCGCCAGGGTCTCGGTTCAAGGTCAGAGGAGGCTGGCCAGGTCTCCCAGGCATTCAGACACTCCACGCTTCTCACGGGACCGGACGCTGCTACAGGCAGGGCTCTGAGGGCAAGTTCTTGGCACCGTAAAGCTTCACTCCTGGGAAAACCTTTGTGATAACCAAGTAATCTGGGCCAGCGAGGAAGCAACCTCCTCCAAAGCCATGCAGCTTGGTGAGCACACGCTCGGGTGTCGGTGCTCTGAACACAAGGCCTTTCCCATCACGTCACTGAAATGGGGCTCTCAAGTAGGCAGAAGTGGAGGCCTAGAAGCTTCCTAGCAGGGCCGGGTCATGGCATTAGCAGCCAGCCAAACATGGGGCTTTGTTTTCTTTTGCTGAAGGATATGGGATACGAAGGATATGCTGAAGGGATATGCGAGTGTGTGTGAATGTGAGTGTATTTCCTCCCAGGTCTGCAGGTAAAGGGACAGATCAGAAGGGCATCGGTCTAGCCCACCCATCCTAAGAGATCGACTGGGTGAGATGCCGAAGGAGCAGTGTTCAGAAAAGACTTTATGGGACTCTGGACCCCAGCATCCTTACTATGGCCCCAATGACAAGGTGTGGTCCCCATGATAAGAGCCTTGCAGCAGAGACACGTTCTCCTGGAGGGCTCTGGCTCCAGGGCAGGAGGCTGGCTTTGAAGAACATGGGCAAACTGATTCCCGAGCATATACAAGGCACCTGGCAGTGTGGGCACCCCTGGGTACCACAGTGAAGACCCTGCAGCATGGGACAGTGGACCCTCCACGGTGGTTATGGGGCTCTGTTAGTGCTCACAGGCTGAAGTCTGCTCACGCACGGTAGGGGTCAAAGCTCTTTGCAAGCAACAGAAACAGACGTTAGCTAATGTAAGCAGAAGAGGAATTTATTAAGGGACGCCTGGGTGGCTCAGTCGGTTGAGCGTCTGCCTTCCGCTCGGGTCATGGTCCCAGGGTCCTGGGATCGAGCCCCGCATTGGGCTCCCTGCTCCACGGGAAGCCTGCTTCTCCCTCTCCCACTCCCCCTGCTTGTGTTCCCTCTCTCACTGTGTCTCTCTCTGTCAAATAAATAAAATCTTAAAAAAAAAAAAAAAAAAGAAGAGGAATTTAGTAAAAGGAATTCAGAGCTCACAGAATCTTCAGGTAGACTTGAGAACAAAGCTTAGAGGCTACCCAGCCAAAAATGGGGGCCAAAATTGTCCCATGAACCTTGGCCCACGGCGACAGCCTGTCTCCCCCATTGCTGGGCACTGGACGTGGCTCCCGCTGCCCCAGCCCCCACCCAACCTTGGAAGGGATCCTGCGCAGTCCGCCGTGCTCTGCGTCCCTCATTTCCGATTCCAAATCAGGGGTGGGTGCTTCTGATGGGTGGCTCCCTGGTCCCCTACCTGTACCCACCCAGCTTGCAAAGGAAGCTGGCAAAGTGAG